TATACAGAGGAAACATAGGTACAGTAGGTTTCGAGGTCTCCCGGGCATCTACCCTCATTTGCAGCCATTCATAGGTAGACACCACGTTGGTCGTGCTATCGAAAGACTATTCCATGTGTAGATCTACGACTAAAGGCTATGCGCTGTGTAACGTTATTCGACTTGCACAGTTTCTCGTCGTGAAGATCTGCCGTCTCTTCTGCCTTTCCCTCTTTCTCTCTCTCTGTATGTCTCTCTCTCTCTCTCACACACACACACGCACACACACACACTCTCTCCCCACCTCACATGTTCCTTCAGCATCCCCTCCTACCCTGTCTTCCTCTTGCATCCTCTCTCACTGTCCCACCATCTCTCTCACCCTCTCTCTCTCAACCTCTCTCACTACCCACCCTCTCACCTTGGTCCGCCCTAGACCAGGGCTGACAATATCACTCTATTTGTACAGATGTACGCCCAACAGCCGGGATTCGCACTAGGGAATAGTACAAGGCACCTGCTTGTCCAGGGCGCCAGATATACTCTTTGGGGTAGAATACGCCCGCCCCAACTGTAGTTGGGACATCGATGTGCCAAACAATAGTCAATACGCTATATTAGCAACTTAGCTTGTGGCAAACAAATCATATTGCTGTGCCAGGCACAGAAATGGAAGCAAAAAATGATGCTGGGGTAGCACCCGACAAAACCAGCGCCATATCCAGTGCACACCCAGACTTGCGACAAACGTGACAGTTCGGCGCAGTCAGCACCAAAGTACACCTGACTTGCGACTCGTTCGACAAGTCGGTGCGAGTTTAGAATGAGATGCACCTAACCACGAACGTTTTCCGGATTGGTGTCGTTACTGCTCGGCTGTCGGCCAGTATTGATAGGTGCGCACTCTGGGGCTGAGAGAATTGTCAAAGCCGAGCACAGGACCTAGCCTTGACACTTCCGGATATTATCTTACTGAAGTACATTTAGAAGTAGACTACGTGACAGAGGATGTGCTGGCTGAAACGCTGGCGATAGAGGCTGGACATATCACTGGGGGTATAAGCTCTCCACTATCAGGATCATGTTCCCAATCTGAAGAGGTGATAAAGGAGAGACTGTTGATCTCTCACGCAGTATTCTTGCGTCGACTGGTTGTACTCAAGCTCGAAATCGGGCCTGGATGTTCAGATTTCGGGAATTTGTTCGGGAGTGGGGTACACTGAGTTACTTTCTTAGCATAGGAACTGGTCAATGGAGGCAGTGTGTGTTGTGGTAGCGTTTCCAAGCTATTTCGTAGCTGACTGCAGAACAAAGTCCCAGTACGGAATTCTCTATGTCGAAGAACGAAAATGGGAACGGGACAGCTAACGGGGAGAAAGACTCAACGGCTATGGATGGCTCAGCTCATGGGTCGGATGTCGTCCAAGCTGATACCGGCGCCGGTAGAATGGCAGGGAAATTTCAAATAGCTGCACTGAGGAGCATGAATACCCCGTCGGCCATGGAGAGAAGGGTAAGCAAGATAACTTGAACGTTAAACTAATTTTGGATTGAGTGGACGCATTGGTATTTGAGCCTTAAGGGCAGTAAATTCCTCTCACGAGCGGCCCAGGTACATGTTTTGTGTGGAGCAGAGCTAGTTATTTTGGATACCGGTAATTAGGTACATGTACCTACATACGTCTCTACCTTGAAGGTTTGGAAGTGTCTCTTGGATGAGGCTCTTGATCTAGGAAGTTTGAAGGTAGGGCCGGGGTTCTATAGTGTGATGGGAACGAAGGGCAAGGATCGCAGGAGGTGACCCTGGGCTGAAGGGCAAGGATCGCAGGAGGTGACCCTGGGCTGTCCGATGGTTTGTCCACTGCAACTGAAGCCATGGTCACATTGGTGATCCTCAAGTAGCTGGTGTCGTGAAAGCAATATGAGTAAGTGGGCGGCCTTGTTTTGTGGCAGAACGGCTGTGATCTGGGGAGGCCCTTTGATGTAGTGCAGTCTTCACAAATACAATAATATTATTATCGTTTACCGTCCGTCGGAGCTGGAGACTCTGTGGAGAATGGTGCCAGGTTCAAGGGAGTGCAGGACTTGTGAAGGTTCGGATCGATAACAACGCGCATGATTGTGTACATGTACATGTATGGCAGATGTTAAGTTGTGGCCATTGCCACAAGTAAAGTCACTAGAATGACGAACATTTCGCCCTGGAATGTACAAGCATCAAACATGAAGCTCAGGTTGACATAAGATTTGAACTTCCAAACCAGTGTTGACGTTTTCCTCTCCATAATAAGTGGGATGTGCAAGGCAACATGAGCGTTTGCAATGTTTGTAATATCAGACATTACTCTCCATCTTCCGGGCGTTTTGGTAAGTGCGCACTCATGGGCTGAGTGAATTGAACACAGGCCCTAGTAATGTGCACGCATTTTCCGGATATCATCCAAAAGGTGGCGGCTGTATTGGCTGAAATGCTGGCGGTAGAGGGTGGATATGTTACTGGCGTAATCCCACCACCATCGGGATCCTGTTCCCATGCGGAAGAGGGTCACAGGCAACATGAGTGGAATATGTCAGTAGCTCCGAGAGCACTGAGTTTGTCGGAGAAACACAGGACTGAGGAGCCGACCTGAGTACTGGTTCCGCTGCCTGGGTCTTCCACCAGGTCCTTCCCCGGGTTTAACCTAGTATCGCCATTGCAAAATAGCAGAGACCAATCTACGTTTTGTACACAAATCACCCCTCGGTCAGATCAGTGGATGCTTCCGATGTCCTTTTCCTGAATTGACACCGTCAGACAACAAATGATCCGTTTGATGATGGTCTTCTACTTTTGTTGAATTGGAACTATACGGTGGATCTTTCATAGTTAACTCCTTACGTGGAAGCTCCTCCAGCAACATGCATGTATGGGGGCCTACACTAATGTGCATTTTCAGTGTGATAAGTATTTCATGGATGATCATGATAAATATTATTATCATTGGCATCTGACTGAGCGACATTCATTTGTAGCATCATTGCTTGACCGAGACGGATGGTCATCGCCCAATCACATCAGCACATCAGGATTCAAAAAGGAATACCATAGTGCATGTAGATTAAACACAGGCCATTGATTTTGATTTTACATGTACATAATGTTGTGTATCCGATGGTCTGCTTGCTGCACATACGATACCAGCTAGGCCAGGGAATTGTTCAACGATAGCTGCTGGAGACCTCAGCTACCCCTACCTCAGAGATGCTGACGTGCATGAATGATGTAGGATGCTGCAAGTGCTGGCAAATCGGCATCAGATGTTGCCAGCACTCCAGGACATGGCGTCGCCGCTTCCAACTACACTGTCATACTTCACCAAGTTTAAGTTCTTTTTCTCTCTCTCTCTTCAAAGCAACACACTGTTAAGTACGGTAGATCTGCATTTGTGCGAGGCAGTCACATGCACTGCAACATAATAATTATCCAGCCATCACAGCGTTCTGCCGGAATTTGACTGCAGGATTGTGTTTTTGGTTCAGAGAGTGCACAGCCCACACATACATCGGGCCATTCGGGTGTGTGGTTGCACGCTGACCCACGCGTTTCAATGGAATGGTTCAACATCGATGTGTATTGTACATGTATATGACTGTGTAAATCAACCGCATTTCGGTCAACGATATGGACTCTTCCTACGAGTAGCAGTTAGGAGTAAGGTTTTGACATGACTGTAGCCTATCTTACTCTTCTTAGGCTTCAGCGGTGGACTGCGTAGGTGCAGTCGCGGTGGCGCTGTCGCTGAGCAACGGCTGCAATGTTCACAAACTCACTGATGGCAAGTAAGTTAGTTGTTACTTGGTGGGTACCGGGTGGCGGTGTGAACAAAGATGTTGTCAGCGATGACAAGAAGTCAACACACGACAGCATACTTCAATGGCATAGAAATGACTCCGATGCTCTGCAGAGTTTGTACTGCCAAGGACTTAGGTCCACGTAGAACGTCACTCTTCAGCATGTCATGTGTCAAACACAAACAGACTAAAATTACTGTCTGTTAGATTCGGGCCCTAGCCATGCGCATACTGCATGCCATAGGCAGCTCCAGCATTCCAAAGGAAACGACAGAGTCTGTGGACCCGGCTATCAATATGCGTAGGAAAAACATACCAGATGAGCAGATCTACACTTGGCCTTTCCTGTTTTCATTGACATTACAGTCCCAGGAATAGCCTGCTCACGTTTCTGGATGTGCTTCGTACCAGAGAAATACATGTACAAAAAAATTCACGGTTCGCGTGAGACTCGGCTGGAAACAGAGTTTTCCGCATCCGTAGGAACGCCACCACCCCTTCAAGGATCAAGGCGCAGATGCAGCTCCTGAAGCGGTGAGAGGTGAGTAGATCAGCTCACCAGCAAGTGGTCAAAGACGGAAAATCCCATTCACTGCATCCATGTTCTCCTCGTGCCAGGCCACGAGTTCCCAGTGGGTCACAGCACGGCTGGAAAAAATCCTTCCGCTTCCAAGCAGGACTTGAACCTGTTACCCTCTGTTTCTCAATCATGGTCTTAGTTAGATAATACATGTACATGTATGAACTAATTTTGCGGTCTAAAACCATTGACTATCACATTCTTCGCCTTCACTCCTCGTGTAACCCCGATTCCACGTCGGACCCTGCGGGTCCTAGCGGAATCTACGATTATAGCGGACCATGTAGGCCCACCACTGTGTAACACTAACAGGTTGTTGTCCATGTACTGTGGCGAGCTCCGTGTTTGGCGTTTATGGTTGACACGTTCACACTACTCTGCGCAAGATCTACAATGACGGAGATCGTGTCATTTAGATTAGATCTACATGCGGGGGCATAGCGATGGTCCGATGGCTAGCCGTACCCTGGTACCGAGAGAGAGAGATTGCAAAAACTGTCACTAAGGAGTAAGGTAGGACAGTACACATGGTACATGTAGGCTTCTCGCATTCTATTTCTAGTACGAAATGTCTGACTGCTCGGCGGAGGAGCCCATGCCATGCTATGTCATGTCAGGTGACAGTTCTACCTGCCCGGGTACCCGCACGAGATCAAGAAGCGTAGGTAGGTGTCAATATTTCAGGTTTACTGGCAGGCCCAAAAACACCAAACCCAAGGTCTCCGCTTCTACCCTCGACGAGGCATTCAACGATCGACAGCACATTTACCGAATTTTCGTGCTACATTGCTCGAGGGTGGTGATAGAGGATTTCTCCCGGCAGATCCAGGCCCCATGGTATGACTGGAGGAGAGAGATAAAAAAAGCGTGCGCTGATGATTTGTGCAGTACTAAAACTGGGAAGTAAGTTTGTTGTGTGGCAATTATTTCAATTTTCAGCAGATTTGCAGGTCAAGGAGGCGAAACCAAAGTACAAGTGCGCGGAGTTTGTTTTTGTACAACCTGGCCAAATGAAGTAAGACAGTTGGTGCTTGGAACCTGGCCAAATGAAGTAAGACAGTTGGTGCTTGGAACCTACCGGCTGTATTTTCACAACAGCTAGGTTGGCAGTGAAAATGTTCCAAGCATGGAATTATTTGATGGGGAAGGACGAGGAGCAGGATGAGACGGCTAGCGGGCAGGCCGACGTCAACGTTGAAGCTGTTTTGGAGAGCTCGGCTGATGGGCCAAACGGTGCCCAAGCTGATGCCAGCGGCGGCAAAGCAAAAGGGAAATTTCACATCGCTGCGCTAAGGAGCTTAAAAACCGCCGAGTCGACCATTGACGGAAGGGTAAGCTCGAGATGCTGTTGGAAATTTGTTTCTGGAGGTTGTTGTGTGTAAACAGTGGAGGATAGTAAGCGTGACCGTCAACCTGGGAGCGCATTGTTAGCGGTACTATCACAAATTTGCCGCATTGCTTTCCCGGAGTGCACATCAGTAATGCCATGCTGCGTAACTGGCTTTGATGGACTATCTGTCTATCACGTCAGTTCATTAGAAAACAGAAGTAGGAAAAGTGCACCAGCACACACACTGTACTTGCACTTTACCACAACACAGTCTGTCCTTTGGCGACGTGTGCACATGAGAAAAGTGACTTTTTCTAGCTCTGCAATGACCATGATGACCATGATGACGCTGATTCATCAGTGACACTATATTCATGTTCTTGCCGGACTCGATAATAATTTGATCATTGGAGGAGAAAACTGCGCCCAGGCGAGCTGAGAAATCCATGCACGTCACTAGTATAGTCAGAGGATGAAAAGAACAGGTTGCTGAGATCAGAGAATAACTACTTACTGACTGTCAGTGTCATTATCTACTTGCCAGTAAGTGGAAATACACATAGACATACTCACTTGATGGTTTGAGTTTGGGACAGCCTTGGCTTACAATTTACAAAGACCACAGTTACAGGACACATGCCCTTGCTGTGTTGGCATTAGGACAATGACAATGAATCCAAGTACTTGTTGATCAGCTGAGTGGTTAGGACTCTAGGCAGTCACCACTTCACCCAGTGTGCATCTAACACTGGCACTAGTGCTAGAAGTGGTAGTTGGAAAAGAGAATGATCTTTTTGAGCATCAGGGAACACACTACACGTGTTGTGCACTCAAGTACTTGAAATCTCACCAGCAGGCACTTGAAAGTGTTAACGAAGTGTCACCTGTGGAAGACTGGCAAGGATGATAGCAAGAGCATGGATCATGTTCTAGTAGGATTGCCTCCTGGTCGCATCCAATGCCAGCCTTGGCAAAGAATATCCCGGTGGGCTCTGGCTCAGTCAAAACAAGATGTTCAGGACTGCTCTGTGACTATTTGTAGAACTAGACACAGGCACAGCACACCCAAGACTGTGAGCCTCCCAGTGTGGACATATAGGTGCAGGGAGAAAGGAGGTTTCAAAGTTGGTGCTGGCAGCATTCCGAATTTGCAGCTCAGGAGGTGGAGTGTACAGAGTTAGTTTTCTTTTGTACAACCCTGGCCAAATGAAACAATTTCCATGGTGTCAGGACTTGCAGGCCATAGTTCACAACATCTAGGTTGGTGAAAATGTTCCAAGCTTGGAATTACTTGATCGGCAAGGATGAGAGTCAGGATGGAACTGCTATCGGTGTCGCCTATGACAAGGATACAGCTGTTGCCTATGGCAAGGATACAGCTGTTTTGGAGAGTTCAGTTGATGGTAGTGACAGTCCTGATGTGCGACTTGATGCCAACGCCAGTAAGGCAAAAGGAAGGTTTCACATTGCAGCACTCAAGAGCATGAGGACCGAGTCTGGCATTAGGGAAAAGGTAAGCTTATGAGCCCACTCGGGTTTGGTTTTGTCACACGTACCCAGCGAATCCATGAAATGCACCTATCTGGGCTCTAAATTTGGAAAAATTGTCAGAGGGACAGAGTAAATTGTACTTCAGATGGCTCACCATACCACTGTAAAATACCTTCCCGATGTCACTGCGATACCAACGTTCTCCTATGGGTGTGTGTGTGTGTGGAACCACAAATTGGCCGCATTGAGTCTGTGTGTGCAATGCTAGGTGTAGCTCTTGGAGTTTGTGTTTCGAATTGCAAGCAGTTAAATGACACGTATTGGTCGTGAACCACTCCGGCACACTGTGGTTAAGGTGACCATCCATTACACCACAACGTGCCTTGTCCTTTGGCATGTTTGTACGTGGGAGAAGCAAATATGTCTGGTCCGGCAACCACCGCAAATCCCACCACAACCACCACCACCACTACCACCACCACCACCACCACCTCCACCAAAGAATGACTTGATCCACTTGAGGTTCACACGACACACTATAAGTTCTAGCATGTGTTGTCTGAAAAGAAGTATTGAAATCTCGATTGAAGACATTGGAAGTGTGATGGAAGTGCCACCTGCTGAAGCATTCACAGTGGCATGGATCCTGGATCATGGTGGATGGCAATGGCCTCTGCTGGTATCATTCTTTGCACAGCTTGATACCTTCAACCCAAACTCTTCACTACAGTGTGCTTGATGAAAATCTGTAGCAGGGGCGTCGGAAACGCTACGGTCACTACGGTATTGACCGTACCACTCTTTGTCCCAGGCACCCCGTGAATCAATAAAATGCACTGATTTGGGCTCTGAGTTTCGAAAAAATTCCGGCAAAGGCGCCACCCCAACCCCAAGAGTAAATTGTACAGGTCGCTGATTGTACCACCCTAAAATATCTTCCCATGCCCCTGTGTGCACTGTGTGCACTGTGTGCACTGGGTACACTGTGTGCACTGGGTACACTGTGTGCACTGGGTACACTGTGTGCACTGTGTACAGGGCCGAATGCTGCTGCTGCTGCTTTCCCGTGGTGACGCACATTGAAGCGCATGTCTCTATATCCGAGCATACGCACACCCTCACATGCATTTGTATAAGTGCATGGGCTTGTAAGTGAGCCCAATCCCGCTGCACACTGGCGCCACCATGATGCCATCTTTACAGGATTTAATGTTCAATTTCCTAATTCCATACTTGAAACTCGATTACAAGCGTATGCACATACAATGTATTATGTGAGACCAATCGACCTTCAGCAAAATTTCGAATATGCCAAAAAATCACTTACAAACGCATGGCCTTAAATGTGGGTCACTACCGTACCCTTTATTTTTTGTGAAAGCGCCAGACCAGCTGATGTTGTGAAAGGGAGCCAATCAGCCTCCGGTGTACAGTGAGACAAGTAACTTACTTTCATGTCGAACTTTGATTGTACTCCGAACCCGTCAGTTTTTACTACTACACGTACAGTAGGATATCTATACATTGTATACCCTCAAGGACGTCATCATCTCAATCAGTTTTCTCCACAGTCATGCACTTGACAAGAGGCTAGAAGCTCCAAGCATCACATCCGGTTCATTGTCCTAGAGTGGCCTCTCTAAAGTTAGAAGTGACCTGTACGTATCCCGGCTTATGATGATCCTGCCAATCCGGGTTCCTCAAGTCGGGGCTGTAGAATTTTCTTCAGATCTGCAGATTATGCCAACATTGCATTTTGCAGCAAAAGTAGGATATGAAATGGCAGGAGGTTTCCTGAGCAGCTACAGTTTCTGTTGAGGCTTCTTGTGGGTCTTGAATGCCCACAGGTTCTCTACGGGCAGGCATTACCATACTGCAATAGGTCTAATGGAGACACTGCGGGAGACAATCCAGCATCATTTTCTGGCATTTTGTTAGAGCTGCTCAGCTGGTCTATTGTCTTGGTCACTCTTTTTCCATCAGCTTCTGTTGTGGGCTCTCACTCTATGAACACACAAAGTGTGTGAGTCTTCAGAATGGCAAACTTTACAGCAAACTAACCATGCCATAATCGTAAGAGCCACACATCCAGCAATATACTACAATCACCATGGAAACGGAACAGGTAACCTACATGTATCATCCGACCCTAAGTTTCCAGTGACCGTTCTGAATTGAGTAAAAGATAAAATGTGTTGCCGAGTGGAAGGTGCGACGTGCTCCTCGTGTGCTCCGGATGGCAGTCGTGAGTCGTGAGTCAGTCAAGTGTCAAGTTCGGCAAGAAGCGTGTGTTTCCCATTGGCACAACCAACTTGATAAAATGTGCCTTCGAGAAACAATTTTTTAACTTCTGTTGTTTTCCATTCAAACCCATTGCACTGCAGCGCAGTTCCAGCAATGCAAACCTCATGGAAGCCGATCCAGAGCTATGTGTCAGCTTGTTTCGCCGCTCCACCAGCTTCACGGCACTGCACAAGCGCTTGATGAATGCGAGCCCTGAGTGGATTGTCAGCTTTCTGGAGAGCGAAGGCTTGGAGGTGAGTGCCTGCAGCGGTTATTTATTGTCATGGCGTGCTGGGAGCAACATTGTTTTTAGCATTATCAAAATAAAACCTTCTCCATAGGGTACTTTTAACAAATGAGCCGAGCCAAGCAAAATGGGGGCAAAATGGGGGCAAAATGGGGGCAAAATGGGGGCTTAGGCATAAATTTTGAAAAATTCTTTTTTCATACCAAAGTGATGCCTATCCAAATTCCATCATGGACATTTTGGTGCCCATCTGAAATGTATATGCGCCATAAATAAGCATACATTGTGCACATGTCACAGAATGCCTGGTATCAATGACACCAAGTAAGTTAAAACCTCCCTGAACTCCAAAAAACATGGGACACCAAGTGGAGACAAAACTTAGCACATGTGCATGCAATACAAGACGAACGAGCACTTATGTTCCAATATGAAGATCCAAGAAAGAAGAAAAAACTGATCGAACTCTTATGTGTCTCATGTAATTTCATTACGCAACACGGATTTTCATTTCCTTCAATGATGTTGTGACTACTTTGAAGTATATTTTCGCTGGACTGGGAAACATCGCATCTTACCAAGACAATCCGTCATTCTCTCTCCAATCACCTATGCCAGCATGAATTAATCCTTTCATGTAGCTCGTAGTGTTGTGCCAGAGATCGAACTCCATTGGCGTCTTACCCCGCTCTAGTAGTGGTTCATTTTATTTTTTATTTTAATTTTTCTACAATGATCACAGCTCACAGGCAAAGACAAAAAATTGCATAGTGGGAGCATAGTGATGGTGAGGCTTTTTGCCCTCAGCCGACCTGAGGTCTCGATGTCATGGGGACATAAAACGCACCAAAAAAAAGAAGAAAAATGAAAGGAGTGACAGGTACATGATACGAAATGTTAGGAGGAGAGACAGTACATACAGACAGTGCTAGGAGGAGAAGGAGAGAAAAGAAGAACAGACGTTATTGGGAATAGTATGTGGAGCGGAATTTGGAAGTCATGGGGTGAGGCAGATATGATGCTGATGATCAGAGATGATCATGTGCCCACGACCAGTCGTTGGTCTTCAAATAGCGGTTGGCTGCAACTTTGAAGTGTTGCAAGTTCTTGGTGCAGAAAGGACCAGAGAAGACTCCGGCGGGCAGCTGGTTAATAAATCCGCCCAGTCCACACTCCTTCTTCGTTTCTCTCCTTTCTTCTTTCCTTTCAGTTGCATCTTCCTTTCTGCTCTGTCTTACTTTCTCTTTTTGTTCGTCCAGTTCCATCTACCTTTCTGATCTGTTTTACTTTCTCTTTTCGTTCGTCCCTCTTGATATAAATTTTGTACTTTGTACTGTCGAGGCAACGAACTGAAATGATAAAAACCAAACCAAGCCCAAACCAAACCGGTGGTGTAATGCCCTTGCAACTACCGTAGGTCCAGCAGACTGCACACCGCTAAAAAGCGGGACTGGTTCTTTGTGCGTCCTAGTCCATTTCATTCTCCTTCCCTGACAAGGATAGTGGTAGAAGGCGCCATGGGACGATATGCTACCAGGTAGAGTCAATGCATCGCTTCGTCGTGTGGCACTATTTCCTTGAAATGAGGAAATTTTGGAATTCGGTACGCCACGTCATGAACACTTGAAGGTTCTAGTAGCTGAAACAAAGTGAAACATCGCAGCAAGAGTCAACTCACCAGGCAGCCTGTCAGAATGATAGTCGCAAGGCTTCTAGACGTCTCCCCACTGCTACATGTATACTAGCCGCTCTAGCCGTGGCCACGATGTGAAACACAGCCACTATGAATGAGTGAGTCTTCTTCGTCCAGTAGGGTTGGGCGCACACGGAGCCAGAATGTCATCCTGCTCACCTCCACATTCTCTAGAACGCTCCATTACGATCTCTGGCAGCTCGGAGACATCCCCACAACGACGAAAAAGTAAACACTGAAGAAGTGCTGCTCAAAAAAGGCCTCTTTCTTCTTCTTCTTGCAAACTTGAAAGTGAAATATTTTCGCGATTGCGCTCGAGTAGAATTTTACCAACTGTGACGTTTTTGGTGATTTTTTCTCGATTGTTGGCAAAATGCTTTTTAGCTCGGCGCGGCTCAAATAGCTATACCGTAATACACCGTAATATGCGTAGTAGGACATCTACCAAAACTTGCCTGAAGTTTCACTTTGTGAATTGATTGTGCCCTTGTGGGATTGAGCACTCTGCGCAAGGGTTTAGCAACACAGCTTGTGTTGAATTGATTGTGTGTATTGGTGCTGTTGGTGAAGGTACTAGTATTTGTTTCTCTTGTTCAATGCAGGCTATCTTCGACGCCTTGGAGGCCATCTTTCCTAAGCACGGCACCAGCATCTATCTGGCAGTCAAGCAAATGGAGTGTGTGCAGTGCGTGAAGGATGTCTTGAATTGCCGTGCTGGACTCGAGTTCCTGATCAGGAACTCCAGACAGTACACCGGGCAGTTGGCCAAAGGTTAGCGGCATGGGAAATTTCATTTTTTATGATTTCCCAGTTAGGTCAGTAACCATGGGAATTTGGCTGTGATGTATATTGCCATCACAATGTTCGGATTTCCCTTTTGATCACAGTTGCTTGGAAGCCAACGATGGTTTCTGGAAAACTTCTAATCATCATGGACATGTAAGCGATTTTGGAAGTTTGTGGTGTTTTCTGTGTGTGTGTGTGTGTGTGTGTGTGTGTGTGTGTTTCTGTGTGTATGTTTCTGTGTGTATGTTTCTGTGTGTGTGTGTGTGTGTGTGTGTGTGTGCGCGCGCGCGCGTGTGCGTGCGTGTGTGTTTCCACTGCAGCACTCAACACACAGAATGTTCTTGTGAAAAAGCAAGTTCTGGAGCTGCTGGCGTGTTTATGTGTTTACAGCATCGACGGTTATGATATTGCTCTGGACACGCTAGAAGCCCATCAGGTTAGAGTCGGGATGAGAGTGAACTCGATGAAATGTCTTATCAATTCAGTGGTTGACAAAGTCGAGCATTGTGTCATGCTCGCCTTGACCTTGACCCCCCCCCCATAGGCAAACCATGTACTTCAAAATATTGTTATGTGAAAGGCTATGTTGACACTATCATCTGCCAGTATCCACCTGTTTTATTGTTGCACAGTGGCTGATTATCTTGATTGATTTTTCTTTGTTCTGACTCCAGGAACTTGTTGGCAATCGCAATCGCTTTGAGTCGCTCATCACTGAGCTGGAGCATAGCGAGATTGAACCCTACACCGCTGTTGTTGTGCTACTTGTCAATTGCATCATCAACACCGAAGATGAACTAGAGGATCGTCTCGAGCTCCGCGATGAGTTTATAGGTACTGGAAACTTATCGTATAACAATTATTATGTGCTTTGACGGTGTGTGAGCATAATGTAATTTTCTTCTCCACACTCCCTGTATGTGTGGGTGGCACTGATGGATTCAAGGGATGAAATAATTCTGTCCACAGACTATATCTAATGTGTCTTGTTTCCTGTATTCATGGCAGTAGAAGTGTGATGCTGTGGCTAAACTAGCAGCTACATATTTTAGGCTAAGGCCTGTGGAGAATCCATAAATACAAAATACAAGGTGCTGTAGAGTTTATTCCAAAGAGGTCATCATGCTCGATCGCTTATACTTTGTATGGCGTGAAAACCAGTGCTGGTAGTTACCGAAATTTGAATGTTGAAGTGTTGTGTGGAGTGGCGAACCATACAGACCTGGCTAGTTGGCATTGCTATTTGGGTGGGAAGCCAGCGCTTGTGCCTATGCTTAGACACTTCATGCAAACTATTTCAAAAACAATCATGGCCAGTGAGACTGGAGGCCGAGTTTCCCGCATTCGTAGGAACGCCACCACCCTCTACAGATCTCTCAGTATTTCAAATGATGATATGGACGCATGCCCTCTATCTATCCTTTGGAAAAATGACATCGACCTTTCTTGAAGCAGTAACTGTTGTAAATTTCCCCATTGTGATCTTGTTTCCTTTGCATGTGATTGCTATGGGTGAACTGGTGTCGTCTTGAAGGACTGGGACTCTTGAAAGTGCTGCAGCCGTTGAGGTAAGTTGGCAAGTTTCAAGTTTTGCTCCATTCTGTACTGTGGCATTCATCACCATTCCACCATTGAAGGCTGCAGTAATATTCGGACTCCGTTATGCGTACACTACTGTACACTTATGACTGTATGCGTTGCATGCTGTATGTACGTCACACAGGCCGTTTCCCGTAGGACAGAACTTTTGATGTGCTGCTCTCACTGGCTCGGGACTTCTCTTGTGTTTGGCTCTCCTGCTGGTTGTGCATTTCTTGCTCCTCATTAGTTTACTCTTCTATATCTCATTGTCCAAACTGTATTGAGACTACTACTACAAAGGCTAGTTTACTGGTATTCAGCAAGGTTCATTGTTCTGTGTCTGTGGTACAGTGAAACTTGATTTCAAGTACCCCGGAGATCATATCATAGCACAGCAGCATGTTCATTTTCATTTGCTCTTGGTTCACGAGCACTAGGGAGAGGTCATATCTCTCTATACAGGTGGTACAGACTATTGAATGTTGAATGCGAGGCTCCGACAAACAGTGCAGACACACAGAGTACTCACTCGGTACTAAAATGTATTCATGCAATTGCCCTACACAATTTCCGCCAGTGCTCATTAGACCTATTTTGATAATGTACTTGGCCAAGCTGGAGCAATTAGCACAGTTAGGTGCCAGATTTAAATAATGTATTTTTGTTCGTCTCCATTTGACTCTCAGATTCTCAGCCGACGAGGAAATCCTGACTCAACTGGACATTTTTGAGAAGGAGCGCGCTGAAGACCATGACCGTCTCGTCACACCGGAGGGCATTGACCTATCAAATCCTACACATGTGTTTCGATTCGTCAAGAACCAGGTGAGAGAAAACTATGAGGAAGGCGCATGACAGCATACATTAATAAAATTTCACGGTTCGCGTGAGACTCGGCTGGAAACCGAGTTTTCCACATCCGTAGGAATGCCACCACCCTTCAAGGATCAAGGCGCAGATACAGCTCCTAAATCGGTGGGAGGTGAGTAGATCAGCTCACCAGCAAGTGGTAAAAGACCGAAAATCCCATTCACTGCATCCATGTATAGATTATCTTCAATGTAATTTGTTAGGAGACAAAAATCGGACTTACTCAGCTTTTTTAAATACAGAAATAGTGGTGAAAACACGTCTGGCGAATGACGCTAAATACATACCTGCTCACACAATGCTCTCAAAGCTGCAAAGCTCTGGCAGAGAGCGCTCGTCTTCTTCATTCTGCCAGGTGTGTGTTTCTAGCACAATTCCCCTACTGTCCACTAAAAAATACATTGATGCTAAATTGGAGTCTTTGTCAGTTTCACACGTGCACAAGCTCCACTGCAGCCATTTCATCTCATGAAAAACCCTGCACACACCATCCTTAAAGCCAGTTTCATCGCAATGGAGTTCATCCAGTGTTTCAAGAAGCTCTTGGGTCCACTCCTACATTGTCTGAGTTAGCCAATCGGGAGCAACCAAATACTGAGCTCTCTCCCTACACACCATTCAATGTAGCATCTCTAAAATTGACTCGGACTGCTAAACATAACCACCGCCATATTCCCAAATTTGCAACACATCAAATTTCAGTTATTATTTGTATCCCTATCTGGATGACCTCATTGAACTAGAAATGCTTAACAAGTACGGTGATGCCCTGTCTTTAGTGACCAGTCCACGGCTTACAGGAAACTGATCATCATGAACAAGGTGTCTTTGGAAATAGGAAAACTGAGTATATAGCGAGACTCGGTTTGTGGCCTGGGATGATGTGTGGAGACAGAAGTTTGTTATTCTCTTATTGTACTTTAAGTTCAACACAGTTTTCACTGCTTTGCTTGGTGACTGCTGTAGGTGAATGCCACAGCGCAGGAGAGCTACTTCCTTAGTATGCTCCAGCAGTTACTGGTGCTAGGGGACCAGCGCAATGCAGAGGAAAGTAAGGAGCTAAGCAGTGCCGAGGAACAGTTCCTGAACGCCAAGTGGGAGATTGCCAGCCGTATGCTGCAGCGCATTGTGCAAGCGCAGAGTGTTGCTGACCTGGACGATTCGTGTCGTTTGACCGTCGGTCAGATGAAAGATGCCATTGAAAATGTGGTAAGGCAAAAACTAGTGAGTGACTTAAAAACTCCCTAGAATTTCTTCTTCCATGACTGCACGGTATCATTGCACCGAGTTCTTTCTTCTGAGTAGCTATCGGCATCAGGTGTGATCTCGTTTAGTTTGGCATCAGTTGCTCTATCTGATACTGCCATGAAGAAAAAAGCTAGGAGCAAAACTGTGAAAGCCAGGCAACAGCAGCAAACGATACTTTCACAAAGGTAACACTCAAGCCAAGACCAACGAGGGAAAAGTTTGGAGCAGAAAAATTACGAGGTTTGAGCTGCAACCTCTCTTGGCGCTATTTCGGAGCTGCGCTGTAGATTGGCGCCGTGAATCTGCGTGATTGGTTAGTGTAATCAAGCTGCCAGCAGGCAGATGTTCATGCGGCGCTAATACGCTCTAGCCACTGGCTAGTGCGCCAATACTACCGAGCCCAGATGATCTTTGCTAGAGTCAAATGGACAAATCCGTGAGCTGAAGATACGAGAGAGCTTGAAAGCTCAGGGCCCTACGCTATGCTTTTTTTGCGTAGCAAGAGTCAACGTTCTCTTTGCATTCGAGGGTAATACGACAACGTCTACTACCTTGATGACCTAGGCAAAAAAGGCATAGAGATGTTATAAATTTTTCATTTCTCCTATTTTTCAAGACATAACCTAGGATTCGAACCCGCACTATCGCCATGCATGCATTCCCCCATACACTTCGCATCCATACTCATTCTTCCAAGTTGCTTCATGTTATGATCTTGCATTTGAAAGCCCTATTTGAATATTGTGGCCAGCTGTCTTTGATGGTACAGTATGGGACAGGTACGAGATAGCGCCAGGCATGCCGACGGCACAAACACACAAACACGGAATTAAAGCTGTGTGGACCCTGGCTAGCGCCAGACATTACTTCACTTTTGCATAGCTACGGGAATAATCTCACTCTGAATCAAAATGTAACAGTATTTTGAATTGCTTCAAAAAGTGCATGTGTGTGTGCATGTGTGCATGTGTGTGTGTGCGTGTGTGTGTGCGTGCGTGCGTGTGTGTGCGCTTGTGTGTGACTGTGCATGTGTATGTTTGAGTATGTGTGGTTGTGTGTGCTTGTTTTGCAACATTTTACCATTTAGATGAAGCATGTCAAGGAAGAAGAGAAGGCAGACTCAGCTGCTTCTAAGGGACAGCCTGCAGCAAAGAAAAGTCCGAAGACAATTGGCCGAAGGCTGCAGAAGCGTATGTCAACAAGAAGAGCCATGCGATCAATGGAAAGGAGCGCATCGGTCATGCTTTCCACGGATGAGGAGAGCGATGAAGAATTTGAGGATGCAATGGATGATATATCCACGGTCACTGTGAGCATTCCATCCACCAAGCCATCGTCATCTTCTTCAGTCATTGAAGCTGATAATGATGAGTCCAAAGTGGAACAAATAAATGGAAGTGTATTGGCCAGTGACACTGCAAGCCATGCTGTCGCCATTGAGCAGACAGTGGAAGCAAAGGCCGATGATGCCGGCGAGGAAAGTTTGGTGAAGCCATCAGAGGAGGCAGCAGAGCAGAGTGAGAGCACGGCCCAGTCCAGTCCCCCAGAGAGTGAGCCTCCGCCTACCCTCGGTGCTGCTCTACTTGAGAAGTGTGAAGAGGCAACAAACACGTCATCACCGCCACTGATCAATGTCGAGGTCGCAATGGGTACTGATCAAGAAAGTGAAGTGAAGGCTGACCATGCATCCTTGTTACCAAATGAGGTTCAGTCTCCACAGCCACCAGCTGTATCACCATCTCCTCCATGTACTGCTTATGATAAAGTCACACCACCGCCTGCGCCTCCCATGCCCGGAATGGGTGGTCCACCTCCGCCCCCACCCATGCCCGGAATGGGTGGTCCACCTCCGCCCCCACCCATGCCCGGAATGGGTGGTCCACCTCCGCCCCCACCCATGCCCGGAATGGGTGGTCCACCTCCGCCTCCACCCATGCCCGGAATGGGCGGGCCACCCCCGCCCCCACCCATGCCTGGAATGGGTGGTCCACCTCCGCCCCCACCCATGCCCGGAATGGGTGGTCCACCTCCGCCCCCACCCATGGCTGGTATTGGGGGTCCACCCGGGCCACCCCCTCCACCAGGTGCTGGTGGTCCTCCACCACCAGGCTTCTCGATGGCTGCGTTTGGTATGATGGCTAACGTTGTGACGACTCCCGCAGGCCGGAAACCAGCCACTAAGCTGAAGAAACTCAACTGGAGCAAATTGTCTGCAAACAAGGTAAGAAAATTTCCAAGAATGCCATGGGTAGTGTAGGTTTTATTTCTTTATTTTGTGTCTTGATGACCTACAATCATCTACTGCACTGTCGACCAATAGCACTTTGCAACGGTTGAAAGTGACAGCACTCTTGTTCATGCCACAGGCCTCGAGTTTTGTGGAGGGACGAGCACTGAAAAGGGAAGTACAGCTTTGTTGAGGGCTCAAATAGTCAAAGCTGCCCTTTTCTGTTTCTCACTGGATATCGTGTCATTTGTACGTATGGCTGGTTTGTAACAGACTCACCAGCCACAAGCTGAAACAATTTGGAAGAAGAAAATTGACTTAGTAGACCTGAAGGATGACCACTACAAGGCGATTGAAGTTCTTTTCTCGGCAAAGCCGCCAGCAGCTAGCGGTGGAGCACAGAAAAAGACTGAGGAAAAGAAACCGAAAACGGTAAGAGGTGCCACAAATTCACAAACAGTAATAATTATTGTGTGCATGGATGTGTGTCGGCTTTTGTTCATACTTTTTGTGCTAATGACAATGCAGTACTGGATTGAACTGTTGATTACTGCAAATAACATAGGAACCATGGAGAACATCCAAACGGTGCTGTATCCAGCACTCCTCAACTCACAACAGTCATTTCATTTGATATTGATATATGCTATGTATAGGTGTCTCTGGTGGACGGAAAGACGGCTCTGCAAGTTGGAATTTTTGCACGCCAGTTCAAAAGGTTTGCTTTCTCTCCATCCATCCATCCATCCATCCATTCATCCATCCGTCCATCCATCCGTCCATCCATCCATCCGTCCATCCATCCATCCATTATAGTTACACTATTTTGACTCTAACCCCAGAATTTGCTCAACGCCTGTAGCGGCAGAGAGTTTCACACAAAGTCCATCCTTCCATCCATTATAGTTACACTATTTTGACTCTAACCCCAGAATTTGCTCAACGCCTGTAGCGGCAGAGAGTTTCACACAAGAATAGGAACCGCTTTTGGATAAATGGCAATGCAACATAAAGCTTCACACATACTGATAGCAATCTCAAGGAGTTGTGACTTTCTGTTTCCTCCCTAAAATGAATGGACATTTTATTATGATAATGTACATCACGTGCCCCTTTATTGAATTTCAATCCCTCCGCTTGATCGTCTGTAGTCCATGTGGCTTTGTATATGCCTCACTGTTATTTTTCTTTTGTCATGTTCATATTGTATGGTGTGTAGTCCAATGCCAGAAGTCATCAGCTGGATTGAGCTGTTGAAGGTAGACAAACTGGAGGTGGATCAGCTGAAAGGATTGGAGAGAGTTTTGCCCGATGAGTCTACGGTATGTGCGTGATGCTAAGGTTGATTTCAATTCTGTACCAGAAATGCTCTAGAAAATGGCTGAGACCTGCATGCTGACAGGATAAATGAGAACAGTATGGGGGTGAGTGCATCGTTTACATTGACATAGACTCCTGGGCTTTGGCCGAATTTATTTACAAATTCATTGAAGGGTGTTGACCAACTGAGTTGCAGCAATATTCAAATCACTTGTATGGCATGCTGGCTGCATTGATGAAGAACAAAGTACTGGAAATTAGCCTAATTAGGGATTTTGTTAGGACTTGAATGGATCTGCTTTCTCGAGTCTTGCAGACATCTCGCTCAGTCGCTAAATGCAAATCACTCATGTATGTCTCCTGTCTGTGTTGCAGCTTGATTCAATCCGTACGTATCCCGGAGATCAGACCAAGCTGGGGGAAGCTGAACACCTCTTCTTAGCCATGGACAAGGTTCAAAGGTATAGGGTGGAATTCAGGTGTCGTAAATGTGCATATGGGCAATTTTCTGCCCCTTTCCAGACCTTTGCCAGCTCTTTCTGTTCGTTATATGGATATCAGTATGATATCTGGGAGCCTGAATATCGCCTATTCAATGTTACGCCATTATAAAAATAATGTTGAAACACGTTGTTTGGATCCAGCAATACCAAAGAGGACATGCAACCCACAAGCAAACACAGGCTTTTGGAAGGTATGAACTGTGATTTCCAATTGATGGCAGTGCTTTCTATGCAGGCCTGCCTTACTTATGTCACACATGTGGCATTGGTGGCCTGTGGCTGCATGTGAGCTATCAATACACTTTGCACAGCTGTGACTAGGACTATATGTGAGGCGATAGTTACGGAACTGCCATTTGGACACACATTTCATGTTGATTACATGTATTGGACTGGACTGGACTGGTGTGCGGAGTATCAATTAGTGTATTTGTCGATGCTCTGATATTCCCTGCATGCAGCATCGGCCTTCGAGTTGAGATCATGATTCTGCAACATGAGTTCAAGGAGGGAATCGACTTCTTGAAGCCAGAAATACACACTCTCCTCACCTCTATGAAAGGTAAGGTGGCTCAAGTCATGGACAGAGGAAATGTTCTGAAAATAATTTTTTGACCACAGCATTTTCATTGAATTATCAATTATTAAATGAAATGTTCAGTGAAATAATGGCGTAAGGTTGTGATAGACTGTACTTTAGGCGTCGTCACAAACTTTTTTTTCTGTCGTCCCTGAAACGAACATCATTCGTTGGGGAGGGGGGGGGGGGGGGTGCGAGCCAAAATCGCAAGTCGATCGACACTGTTCATATGACATGTACTTGCATGCGGTTTTCGTTCTCCAGCATAGCAAGTTGTGTTCGTTTCAGAGGGAGGAGAGGGGCCCGAGTACGAAATGAGCGATGTTCGTTTCAGGGACGACAAAAAAACTTTTTGCGACGAGCCCTAAATAGTTACTACAAAGACAGAGCAGTACTTGATAACTGTGTCACTCTCCACTTGAACGATATGTGTGCAGACGTAAATTCAGATAGGATTAGTTTAGCACGTCGTGACTGCTAACATGTTGTGTCCTTGCTAACGGTGTGCTTTGTTGACAGAGCTGCTGGCATCAGAGTGCTTGCAGAAGCTGTTTCATTTGCTGCTACTGCTTGGTAACTTCCTCAACCATGTAAGTTATCTGAAATACAATGTTTGCAGCTATTACAGTAAAACTCCACCTAATCCGGGCAGGTTGGGACCAAACACTGCCCGTAACTGGGAATTTCCCGCAACTCGGAACATACATGTACATGCCTACTGCATGCACGTAAACATTTTTGTGTCAATCAATAGTCTGTGGGGTCGTTTTTAGTTGAATTTTTGTAACTCTGGACTCTATATGGGTCAGTAAGGTGCCCGGTACATGGCCGTGCCCGGTACATGGCCGTGCCCGGTACATGGCCGTGCCCGGTACATGGCCGTGCCCGGTACATGGCCGTGCCCGGTACATGGCCGTGCCCGGTACATGGCCGTGCCCGGTACATGGCCGTGCCCGGTACATGGCTGTGCCCGGTACATGGCCGTGCCCGGTACATGGTGTAGTGTAATGAGTAGCATCATGACAGAACTCTATCCCTAGGCATAGCATTGTCTGTCTCCTGGTTTCTCCTTCCTACTCCCTACACTCACTCGCATTGATCTAACGTGCGTACGTGTGTAAGAACCGCACCCTGCCTGCTGTACCATAGACTCATGCATTCATGTACCGCTGTACTTGCTGGCTGCGCATCACTAACCCTTCCCCTTCTATGGCACAGTCCCCGCACTGAATGCAGTACTCGGGTGCGCGTGCGTATTCATGTCTGAGTGCACTGCCCTCGGGCTCCATCTATACATGGCATCCCGTACTGGGCACGCTGCTTCCGGTCGCTGTTGTGTGCACGCAGCGCCGTAGTCTATTCCGCTCTCTGTCTTCTCTACACAGTGATTCCTGTGTAGAGCGCTCTTCGTTTCTGCTCTCCTTGTAGTTAGTTGTGCTTTTCCGTGTCCGATAATGTTCCCCCTTCTGCAATAAAGATTCAGGCGAAACTACTCTAAGTAGCTACCGCTACATGGCGCAGTGAACAGGATCAGTGAAAGAAAAATACTAGTAACATTGATCCGCAACGAACCTGTTCCGCAACGGCAGGATGGCTCGATTCCAGCCACCGGGAACGTTTGACTTCGCCGATCCGACGCAATGGGACGACTGGTTGGAGCGATTCCGCCAGTTCCGAAAAGTCACGAAACTGCACAAAGAGGACGAAGACGTACAGGTCGCAACTCTGCTGTACACGATGGGTCCACAGGCGACCACTGTATTCAAGCAGCTGACGTTCGCCGACGCGGGTGATCGAGAGAAATATAAGGAAGTGGAGACTAAACTCTCGGCCTACTTCAAGCCCGTTTCCAACGTCGTCCACGAACGAACGATGTTCGAACGCGCCACCCAGTCGCCATCCGAGACCGTGGACGAGTTTCTGCGTCGTCTCCACCGCATCGCGGACAAATGCGAGTTCAAGGACGCTCGCGATGACCGCATCCGCGATCGCTTTATGGCCAACCTGGTGGACAGGAAGCTCACCCTCGAGCTCCAGCTGCTCGACAAGCCAGACCTGGCCAAGGCTGCTACGCACGCCAGGAACTACGAGCAGGTGCACCGACAAGTGGCGGCGCAGCGCCACCAATTGGAGATCTCTGCACCCCCGCAAGCAGCAGCAGTACGATCGAGCGCACCCAGCCAGCGCCGTCCCGACCACTCACCAGCGCTCCGCACAGGCCAGGAGCCCTGCAGATGGTGTGGGAAACCGGCTACACACTCCCGACGTGAGTGTCCTGCTCGGTCTGAGAAGTGCAGCTCCTGTGGTAAAATGGGCCACTACAGCAGGGTGTGCCTGTCCAAGGCCAGCAAGGCACCGCAACAGCAGTCAGCACACTCTGTGCAGCCGGCCAGCTGGTCGCCGCCAGACCAGAGCCAGTCACTGTTCATGGGTGGTGTCACCGATGCTAACCTGCTGGAGGGCGGACCCTGGATGCGCTCAGTGACGATCGGCCAAACACCGGTGGTGTTCAAGGTCGACACAGGTGCGGATACATCCGTGATGAACGCCAGCACCTTTGCCAGCCTACAGCCCGCCCCAGCACTTAAGCGGCCATCCACCAACCTGATGGGACCCGATGGCGCCCGGCTCAATCTGGCCGGTCAGTTTTCCGTGGCCAGCCAGGCACTCACTGGCGAAGTTTTCAACCACGAGGTTTACGTGCTCGCTGGAGATGGTGCCAATCTGCTGAGCCGACAAGCCTCCATCCGCATGGGCTTCGTCCGACAAGGCATAGGCCACATCAAGGCAGACCCGACGCGTGCTGAGCCGTTGGGGTGTATGCAAGGCCCGCCCGCCACCATCCGGCTCAAACCCGACGCCCAGCCATATCACTGCCCAGTCGCTCGACGGGTGCCTTTCCCGCTGCTCCAGAAGGTAAAGGCCGAGTTAGCACGAATGGTGGACACTGGCATCGTCGAGCCCGTAACCGAGCCCACTGAGTGGTGCGCCCCAATGGTGGCCGTCCGCAAGAAATCAGGAGACGTCCGGATCTGCGTCGACCTCAAGCGTCTGAATGCGTCCGTGCAGCGTGAGTCCTTTGTCTTGCCGACTGTGGACGAGACACTTGCCAAGCTCGCCGGAGCCACGGTCTTCTCCACGCTCGACACACGCAAGGGTTTCTGGCAAGTACCCCTCGCCGCTTCTTCCCAACATCTCGCCACATTCATCACACCCTTCGGCCGCTACATGTTCCGACGTCTTCCATTCGGGATCACATCGGCGCCCGAGATTTTCCAGCGTCGGCTGATGGCCATACTGGAGGGAATACAGGGTGTGTGTGTCTTCATGGACGACATTCTAGTGTACGGTGCTACCATTGAAGCCCATGACCTGGCTCTACAACAAGTTCGGGAGGCGCTAGCGGCTGCATCCGTGACTCTGAACCCTGACAAGAGCCATTTGCGCCAGCCGACAGTCAAATTCCTGGGCCACCGGATCAGTGCAAGCGGGGTCCAGCCCGATCCTGACCGTGTCGCGGCAATCCTGCAACTGGCTGCTCCTACTGATGTCCCCGGTTTACGCCGGCTGCTAGGCCTCTTCAATTATGTGGGGAAGTTCATTCCCGATTTGGCCAGCATCTCCGCACCTCTCCGTGCACTGCTCCGCACTGACGTCGCTTGGTTGTGGGACGCCCAGCAACAGGCGGCACTCGACCAGTTGAAGTCCCTCGTCGCTAAAGCCTGCACTCTCGCCTTCTTCGACCCAGCCAAGCCTGCCACGGTCAGTGCTGATGCCAGCAGCTATGGTCTCGGAGCTACCCTACTACAGATGCACGACGGCGAGCTGCGCCCAGTCGCCTACGCTTCCAAGTCTCTCAGCGATACCGAAAAGCGCTACGCACAGATTGAGAAGGAGCTGCTCGCTGTGACATGGGCCTGTGACCACTTCGCACAGTACCTCCAGGGTGGCTGTCCGTTTCAGGTGCAAACCGATCACAAGCCTCTGGTGCCATTGATCAACGCCAGGGACCTCGACAACACGCCACTCCGGTGCCAGCGAATGCTCATGCGGCTGCTCCGATACGACGTGACAGCTGTCTACGTGCCGGGTCCACGCCTCGTAGTTGCAGATGCTCTGTCCCGGGCTCCCGGCGACGACAGCACCGAAACCTCCACCATGGCCGACGTCATCAACGACATCGAAGCCCATGTGTCCGCCGTCTCGGCTGAGTATGCATCGCCCGACTTCTGCAGCCGTGTTCGCCTCGCCATAGCCGATGAGGCCATCCTCGCTCAGGTGCGCCAGTTCGTTGCCGCCGGCTGGCCCGACAAAGAGCACAGCATCCCGGACAACCTCCACCCATACTTCCACTCCAGGCAGGCCCTCTCCATCGCCGATGGCTGCCTGTACTTCGGCGATCGGCTAGTCATACCTGCGTCCCTGCAGTCCGAGGTCTTACGTGCAATCCACGAGGGTCATCAGGGCGTCACCAAGTGCCGTGCCCGTGCCCGGGCAGCAGTGTGGTGGCCAGGGCTTAGCAGTCAGATCGCCGACACAGTCCGCAACTGCGAAGTCTGCAGCCGGACACGCCTGGTCCCCGCAGCTCCACTGCACCCTCTGCCACTCCCAGACCGCCCATGGCAGCGCGTTGCGGCCGACCTCTTCACACTGGATGGTATCGACTACCTGATTACGGTTGACTACTTCTCCCGATTTGTAGAAGTGGATCAGCTCCGCACCACCACCTCCGCCGCCATCATTGCGGCCCTCAACATGCACTTTGCGCGGCACGGTTTCCCAGACAGCTTCGTTTCGGACAACGGGCCGCAGTTTGCTAGCTCGGAGTTCGCACTCTTCCTGACCCGTCACGATATCGAGCACCGTACCAGCTCACCTCGCTACCCGCAGAGCAATGGCATGGTAGAACGCTCAGTGCGCACCATCAAGGAGCTACTCCGCAAGTCCACCGACCTCCCGACAGCTCTACTCGCGTATCGCTCTACCCCGTTGCAATGTGGTTTCACCCCTGCTCAGTTGTTAATGGGGCGGCAACTCCGCTCCACAGTGCCAACACCCGCGGCCCAGCTGACACCAGCCTGGCCAGACCTGGATCTGGTTCGCCGTCGAGAAGCTCAGCAGCAGGACCGGCAAGCCTCGGACTTCGACCGCAGACACCGTGTCCGGTCGCCCAGTCGGCTCGCAGCGGGGGACCGGGTGTGGGTTACAGACCTGCGCCAGGAAGGAGTGGTACAGCTACAGCTCAGCGAGCGATCTTACAATGTCAAGACAGCCACCTCCACCGTACGTCGAAACGCGAGGAGCCTCCGGCCACTCCCGCCAAGCCCAGCAGAAGTGGAGACACCAGCAGCCCCCATCGCCCTGCAGCCCGAGGCCACCGGGACACGCGGCAGAGAATCTCCCGTGGCGAGCTGCGACGGCACACCAGCTGCTGCCGAGGCCGGCACAAGTGCCACCTCCACTACGCGTTCAGGTCGCAAAGCCATTGCACCTGAGCGGCTTATCTCGACCATATGAACATGGACCTTCCACTCTTTCCGTTAGGGGAGATGTAGTGTAATGAGTAGCATCATGACAGAACTCTATCCCTAGGCATAGCATTGTCTGTCTCCTGGTTTCTCCTTCCTACTCCCTACACTCACTCGCATTGATCTAACGTGCGTACGTGTGTAAGAACCGCACCCTGCCTGCTGTACCATAGACTCATGCATTCATGTACCGCTGTACTTGCTGGCTGCGCATCACTAACCCTTCCCCTTCTATGGCACAGTCCCCGCACTGAATGCAGTACTCGGGTGCGCGTGCGTATTCATGTCTGAGTGCATTGCCCTCGGGCTCCATCTATACATGGCATCCCGTACTGGGCACGCTGCTTCCGGTCGCTGTTGTGTGCACGCAGCGCCGTAGTCTATTCCGCTCTCTGTCTTCTCTACACAGTGATTCCTGTGTAGAGCGCTCTTCGTTTCTGCTCTCCTTGTAGTTAGTTGTGCTTTTCCGTGTCCGATAATGTTCCCCCTTCTGCAATAAAGATTCAGGCGAAACTACTCTAAGTAGCTACCGCTACACATGGCCGTGCCCGGTTTATGAGCATCCGGATTAGAGGGGTTTTACAGTAACTTTAGTTAGATTTCACAGATGCTCACAGAATGACAACATTTTGGAATTTGTTCTCAAAGTCCCAGCTTGCCCATCGTACAAACGGTTTTGCATACAAAATCACTCGGTTTGTAGTATGTTTTCCCCCCAAATGACCTGGTTTTCAAACCCCACGATACTGTGTTGCTTCAGCTTGTGATAGCACATGCAGATCACTTGTCGTCAAACTTTCCATAGACATAATTCCAATAATTCATCATGATACAATACTGCACTTTAGTACAAGTAGGACTAAGACGTGATATTCACCCTCCACCAGAAGCAATCAGCCGAGTGTGGACTGTTATATTCAAATTTGTAAGTGTTGGTGCTGAAATGTTAGGGCAACCCTGAATTAGGCATGTTTGTACCATGTATTTGAACTGTCCGCAACTATGTGTGTTGGATATTAGATAGTGCCAATGCCTTTGTCCCTGATATTTTTTACTGCAGGGTACATTCTCTGCTAACGCTAGTGGATTCAAGACTGAGAGTGTTTTGAAGTTTGATGACACACGTTCCAACAAGCCACGTGTCACGTTTGTCCACTTTCTTGCCGAGGTTAGTAATGTTGTGCACTGTATTGTCCTTTTCCGAAGTGGTACCTTGAGTAGGACTACAGTAAATGCTAATTTCGACTTGTAATCCACTGTTTGAACCAACACCTAGTCGTGTTGTGCGCTGTACTGTCCTTCTCCGAAGTGTCATCTTGAGTAGGACTACAGTAGAATAATAATACTTTCTACTTGTACTCAACTGTGTGAGTAAACACCTAGTCATGTTGTGCGCTGTACTGTCCTTCTCCAAAGTGTTACCTTGTGCAGGACCACAGTAAATACTACTTGTACTCCACTGTGTGGATCACCACCTAGCCATGTTGTGCACCTTTTTATCCTTCTCCCAAGTGTTGCCTTGTGTAAGACTCAGCTCTCTATATACCCCACTGTCACATTGTGTGGATCAAAAGCTTTAGTTGTCATCCACCATGAAACATATGTAGAGCAACATTAATGAGCACATTAACCATTCGAATTGTGCGTTGTCTTATCATGTCCATCGGTCACCGTCTTTGCTGATTTAATGACTGCCATATTCAGCATGCTGAGGAAAACTGCAAGGAACTGCTGCAGGTGTTCGATGAAGTTCCAAGCCTGGCCAAGGCATCCAAGTAAGTGTAAAATGGTGTCTGCTGGTTTCACTATGAGCAGTGTAACGTGCAACAGAAGCCTTCTTCATCTTTTATTGAGAGTCTAGCCCGATGTGGATAGGCGAGAAGGCAGAAATGCAAACAAGTCTGACATAATTGCATCAAGCACAGGTTGCTGAGTTCCATTTTCTAGACATATTCACCATTCCGGGGCTATTCTTGCCATCCTTAAGTGGTCAGATGTGAAGCATGTACCATATTGATACGTTGTGTCTTCTTCCCTCACCTTATCTCATTTCCAAGAAATCATGCACTCCAGCACAGCTATGGGTATGTACGCTCTACTCACTCTGTGGCTGTTGAGACTGAGAATCTTTTCTCATGACCCTATTATCGCTGCAAAACAAGATGACATTGTGTTGCCTGCATTTCCTTGTCTCATTGTTTGCTAGATTGTCATTTGACCACTTGAATGGGAAAGTTAAGCAGTTGGAAAGCAAAATCAAGAAGCTGGGCAAGACGCTGGAGAAGCAGCCTGAAGACCTGCAGGAGCTTGCCAAGCCGTTCATTGAGGTGAGTCAAGTTAATCGGCCATCGTGTCTGGCCACTGCTAGCTCGGTCCAAACATTGTGCAGTACAGTTGGACCTCGCCTATCCGGTCCTCTTTTATCCGGACCCCTCGCCATGCGGAAGAAACCCGTTGGTTACTGATTTACAGCATATGCCATGCATACGTACAGTATGTGTGTTCGATTATCCGGTTCCCTCGCCTATCTGGCTGTTTGTGCGGGGAACAGACGTGTGCGGTTATGCGAGGTCTGACTGTACCAGTGTATAGATAGGTAGTAAGCCATGCACAGCTATTATTCAAGATTAGTAATCACAATGGTTAGATATGTAGGGTTATAGTTGTCTCCTTGTCACAATGGATACAAGAAGAAGAAGAGGTTGAAAATGTATTCTTACTTCGAGTTTCACGCGCTAAGCGACCGTCAGACAATAATGGATCTATATGTAGGGTTGTAGTTGTCACCTTGTCGACTTTTCAAAAATTGGCATAACTTGTGTCCGTCTGTTGGTCTGGAGTTGGCACTGGAGTTGGGCATTCTTTCATAAAATAATTAATTGTCTATGCACGACCTTCGTGAGAAAGATACAGGATGCGAGATTTGTCCAACACACATATGCACATGATGGACACTGGATATTTGTTTAGCCGACCATTAAATGGCTATACGTGACTCAGGTATACCCTGCCGTCATGTTGTGTTCAGAGTGCATCCGTGAAGGTAATGGAGCTGAGTGAACCATTGGATGAGATCCAGGAGCTGTCCAAGCAACTCATGGCATTCTTCTGTGAGGAAGACTCTCAGTTCAAGCTTGAGAGCTTCATGGAAACCATGTACAAGTTCATCAAGCGACTGCAAGAAGCAATTAAGGTAACCATTGTCCCTTTCAAATTATATTTATATCATCAGTCACAGCAGAACAATGCAGAAGACTTAGTTAGTTTTGACCTTTCATCGAATTCTACATATATGAAAGCACTCAAGTGATCATCAAAGTTGGTGACAAAGTGAGGGTTATGCTCCAATCTAAACTGAAACTTCTTCAAATGCACTCAGTAAGTGATTTCACAGTGACGCTGATGCAGTTTTATTTATTTATTTATTTATTTCACCTTCCCGTGGCCAGAGAATATAGGCCAATATGGAGGGAGGGGGGCGGTAGCCAGCCATGGCAGTAAACAAAAACAAAGCAAAATAAATAAATATTACACATTACTGGAGGCAAAGAGAAACAAATGTGGATGAAGAACTAGCAGTTATTAGAACACGAGCTTCATATTGGCCTTGAAATCCTTTAGCGTACAAGACGATTTTACTGATAGAGGCAGGGCCAGCCAGAGAGAATAGGCAGCAAAAAACGGAGATCTGGTATAAGCTGAGGTTCGGGCTTTAGGTAAAGTGCAGGGATTGCGCGTAGGACGAGTGGGAAGAAACCATTTATATTTACGCAAGTGTGGCGGGGCTTTGTCAAGACGAATAGAATGAACAACAATACACAGTTTTCGATCCGCTTGACTAGAGATAAGGAAGGTGTTAAACATATCATACAGCTCGGCAGAAGGAAAGTATGATGGTTTGCGGAAAAGGACTTTGAGTATCCTCTTATTGTGGACTTCCAGGGTACTCATTAACGATTTACTAAGTAGGGATGACCAGGCGGTTGAGCAATAGAGATAAACCAGGCGGTTGAGCAATAGAGATTTTTTTTTGTTTTTTTTTGTTTTTCAGTGTACATGTACATAGCCAGCAATCGCATGTCATCACGTACATTGAAAATCAACATAATTTTGCGAATCGACCTTTTTTTCAGGATCACTTTTCAACGAGGACGAAGCAAAGTCGGCCGAACGAAGCCTAGAGGAAGAAAATCACCCTCTCCACTTCACCATCACGATGCTGACATAGATACGAGATGAAACAACCAAAAAATCCACAAGAAAACTGTACGACCATCATCGCGCTGACTTTGGTCTGACTTTGGTCTGAGAATTTCTATCACGATCAAAAATGTACGAGGAGCACTCAAAAATCAGCCACAGACGTACCTTTATCGCTCTCTACTCCTTTTTCAAGGCACAAAAGTCGACTCTCCACTTTCAAACCAGGAACCAGACATACCAGTGGTCCTTTTCAGCTGCTCCACGAGCGCAGGAAATGTTCACCAAGGGGCGCAGAGCAGCATCCATTCCAGAAAAAGAGCTAAAATACGAGTGAGACTGCATGACTGAGTACATGAGTACATGAATGAGTACATGCAGAAAATAGTCAATTTCAGCGTTTCTGCTCCAAACAGCAACAAGCTTCGACTAGAAACAAAGATTACACCAAAGGATCAAACAACAACCATTTTCTGCAGTTTTTTTGCAGATGGCTTCCTTGTGCTTGGCCCAGCACGCCAAAAATCACACCTCGGAGGAGTACAAAAATTACAACTCTCAGATGTCCTCGATTGCTGGCCATGCTGCACACCAACTCAATGTTCTGGGCTGTTTTGAGAAATAGCCTAGGCCACGCAGAGCGGAGGCCAGGCAGGTAGCTAACCTTGAAACGGAATCACTTTCTCGTGGAAATGTCTTTCCAGTGCTTGCCTTTTTTATTTGCGAAAATCAGCAAAAACTTGCAAGAGATATCACAAAGTCTATATTTCACTTTGAAGGCCAATGAAACTCGTATACTTTCGCCATGGTTCTACAGGGTGACAGGTAGATAGCAAAGTGTTGTTGTTGTCATCGCAGGTCTAAGGTAGAATTTTGACATTTTGTTTCTATCACTATGCAGGAAAATGCAGCAAGAAAAGAGGCCGAGGCACGTCGTCAGAAACGAGAGAAGGCAATGGCAGAGGAGAAGGCCCGTAAGGCAGCGTTGAAGAAGAAGAAGGAAGGAGAGCAGACGCAGACAGCAATTGTGGACAACATGCTCAGTGCCATGAAACGTAAGTCTAAGCTCTCCCCAAGTGAACTGGTGGTCTTGAGCATATCTCTCAAGGAGCCACGACAGATTGACAGAGTTTCGGCCACTTTGTGATGGTCACGTTTCTGGTGGGCCTTGCCTATACGTTCCCTGAGAGCATGGTTTAGAGAACTTGGGTTGTGCAACCTTACTTCACGCGGTGTACTTTGTGACTTTGATATTAGACGGTTGTATTATTCTGCCCCAGTGGGGCGGAAGAAAGGTCACCGAAACCTGTCAGAAAGTAAAACGTTTGAGGAAATGGAAGACTTGGTTCAAATAGCTGTGTTTGGCCTTTAATCCTACCCTTCTTTGATCCGGAATATGCATAAAGTCAGGGTCATAATGTACAATTATCGGACAAAAGAAGTGAACATTAGCTATGTTGAGAAAGCAAAGCAAAGTCAAGCAGCTCATACTACTGATACAAGTCCTGCCATTTTTTCCATACTTTCTGTCTGCTGGTGGTTGCAATGGTTGCAGGAGGCGGCTCTGTCAGGCGCAGCTCATCTTCGGCCTCTCAAAACGAAAGTGATGTAGCATTGCAGAAGCTGCGCCACAAAGCTGGCCGTGGCGGACTGCCATCAATTGCAGCGACTGATGAAGACACTGGAGCTAGCATGTCACCACCGGTATCATCCGCTGCATCTTCTGATCTTCTCGGCCTGCCGACAAGTCATACTCATCGACGAAGAAAGTAAGTAGTTGATTGCTGTATGTTGTTTTCCTCTATCCTCAACTTTGATCTAATGGTTGAAGTCGCCAACTCCCGGCATGCTTGGAACGTTGCAGATCCAATGCCAAGGGGTGAGACTGGTGAAATCAATGGACGTACTTGGATCGTAAGCACGGATATTTTCGAGGAGCTGAACTAGCGCCCCGTGCGAGGGAGAGAGAGAGAGTGTGTGTGTTCCCATGGCAGGGGCGTAGGAGGGGTTTTGGAAGTGGTACGACCGAAGGTCGGTGCGGCCGAAGGCCGTGTTGGAGGGGTCTGGGGGACCTCCCCTGGGGAAATTTTGTAAAAAAGGCACAAAATCCTGCGTTCTGGGAACTTCTGGCGCAGTGTGTGCAGTCGAGTCGAGTACACGTAGGTCTACTCAGTACGACTGCAGATGCATAACAGATCTACGAATACGAGTCTAGAAAAAGGTCAAAGTCTGATGCGCATATGCATATCGATGGATCCTGATTTTTTTTATTACGGTTTTGCACGTTCCAGACGGACCACACTTTTCTAAAAGTGGTGCGGCCATGGTCGTACCAGTTGTAGTGGGTGCTACGCCCCTGCATGGGATGTGCCTGCACTACTTATGCCCAAATACTACTATACCTGCACACAACTAACAAACTAACAAACACACCGGCGGCCAGTGATCCATTGTGGATCTCTGTACAGGGCTTGCCAGCATACAGCACGTGCTGGAGAAGATTGAGATGGTGACACATACAATGTAAAAAACAACACATGTCCTATGACCAGTGCCGTGGGGTTGAGAATTTTCCGTGTGCACATTATTCCCATTCCTTGAGGGTGGCCTAAACATTTGAAAAGTATAGTCATTTAGAGCTACCGTACTTGCGCGATTAGCACCCTCTCTTGAATAGTGTCCCACCCCCTCTGGCTTGTAACCGAGCACATGTGCAAGTTTGGAGATCTTTTTGCCAAGTTTGGTTATGTTCTTGCCCATGTCATTGAACTGGTGGTTTCAGGATCAATATCGCAGTTCTTGTTGCCCTCTCTTTTGAGTCGTGATAGTTAACAGTAAACTTTAGGCTCAGTTTTTCTTTGCCTTCTTTGCTTTAGGCCACACTTTTTATATATCTATGTTTCTCGTCTCCCGAAAATCTAAAATTGTATGCAAGAGGTGGAAAAAAATAAATGATCGAAAAATAACTAGACCTTTGGTCATACTAAAATCGACCAATACACCGTGTAAAATAGCATCCAAAGTTAGCAACCAGTACGTGGTAGGAGCTTCTGTGCACGTGCAGCTACTTCCTCCGCCCAAGCAAAATTTTCGCTCATCTTTACACCTTTTACTGATACCTTCCAGGTTCTCAGAACGGCTTATAACGACTCAGAATGAGTTGAGGAGTCGTTGAATATCAAGAGAAACTCTCCAAGTCGAAAAATGTAGAAGTCATCCTTTGTCATCAGCCGATGCAGCACGTGTTGTCGGGTAGTACTTCGCACTTTCCAGAAGCACAAATATTTCGTATCGACACTTTTCCCAGCGCTTCACCTCCTTCATGGGTACGATTGGTCGTGTTTCTTACCAGCCGAAGCTGACGAGCTCAGCGTTGCTTTGCAGGATCGTTCACGTTGACATCAGGCGGATGAGCTGGGTGAGTGACAACCCTGTCATCGAGGCCTTTCTTTTCTCCCTGTTTTGCCCAGTGCCGATGCTGGTTCATTTTGCAGTACCGTATGTGGGCGAGCGTCGCTGAGTGGCTTTCTCAGCTTCAAGCTCACGTGCATTTTTACCGTACACACATCTTGTGCCGGATGCAATCCAACACGCTGGCTTTTCGCAACATGACACCTCTCTGCTCTGTACTCCAGTGGTACTCTAGCAGCTCCCACCTTGACCATGTACCAGTGACTGACTTCGTGTTCTTTTTACAAGTTCACTCGCGTAAGACGCGCTCTACTCTAGGTGTTTCTTTACTCTTTACCGACTTCGCCGACTTGTTTGGAACTGGTACGCCTGAACCAGCAGATTTGTGTGATGATGAAGTGCACATGATGAAAAAATTGCTGTCAGACACCTGTCATTGGGCTGAAGGAGATAAGCGAAAATTTCGCCTGGGCGGAGGAAGTAGATTGTGCGAACAAAAACTGCATGCAGTGTACTGTACTGTGTAGCATGCACGGCATGCGTCTGCCGAAACTTGAAAAAGATCGCGCACTTGTAGTCTGTACACAGTAAGTAAGTCAATCTCGCTTACAACGGTAGCGACCTCGCATCATGTGTCGTGCAGGCCAGGCTAGGATGGGTGCACATGGGCATCTCACGGCTATGGTCCCCAAAGTGCAGCACAGTTTTTTTCTTCTTCCAGACTCCTGAATCGTGTGGGTGTTGTTGTTGTTGTTGTTGTTGTAGAAGTTTATTTAACGTCACACCACAAACAGGCGATTTCGCCTCCTTTGATACATGTGGACGAGGGTGACGAGAAACATAGAAATAAAAGTGTGGCCTTATGCGGCAAAAAAAGTGGCAGCATTGAAAAAGACAGTGCCCTCTGTTGAAAAGTCTTGAATAGTGCCCCATCTGTGATGGACATTGAATAGTGCCCCATCCGTGATCTGTGATGGACATTGAATAGTCCATGATGGACATTGAATAGTCCATGATGGACATTGAAAACATACATGTAGAACCCCAAGGGCACTAGTCGTGCGAGTACAGCATATGGGACCTACAGGCATAAACTTATTCCAGAATGTTAAATGTCTATTGAAGCTGTTTCGACCAGCCCTGTTCATGACATTTATGGCAATGGTTTCTGCATGAGGGAGGAGAAACAAGCCTGGAGAAGAATATCTAAAATTCTGGGCATCCCAAACCCCGACCACCATCCCCTCCTGGAATGATTACTTTTATAGCCTATCTGGCACTGCACTTCACACCTGAAATAACTGGCCAACCGCCCTCGGCCAATCAGAGAGCAGCAGCAAGTGTTTGCTTCTTGGCCTGCTGATGGCTGAACTCTTGTTGTTTCTGCATGAGGAAGGAGAAACAGGCCTGGAGAAGAAAATCCAAGTCGATCATTATGTCGTCTGAATTTATGCTTGTATTTTCAGATCCTCTTCTGCTGAAGGGCTGATCAGTGATTTGGCCAAGTTCCAAGAGAAAGCCGAACAAGAGGCACAGTCCGAGTCAAGCCTAGCATAGTGTGATCTCTCGCTGAGCACTTGGATATGCAGCAACACTGCAATCGACCCGAGCAGTCTGGATATTTCGAAGTTCCCACAATAGATAGAAATTGTAAATTCTGCATTCTGGCAATTTTGATAAGGCTGATTGTATAGCTTGCATGCTCATGGTACGTATTCACATCTCCGAAATGTGCTGTATGCATGGTTATTTTGAGCGCATTTTTGAAAATTAATTCTCTATTTTTGAGCAAAGAATAGGGGGAGGTTATAAACTTGTTGCTTTTTGAATAATTATAATTAATTTTTTAGAATGTTGATCAACTGAGTGAACAGAACAAACGAATAATAACAATTACCTTCTCGTTCTTGCAGACAGGAGTAAGTAAAATTATCAATATGCTTTTACAGCAATATTTCGAAAGTTTTCCACAGCGTACTTTCAAAACTAATGGGTGACAGTGGGAAAGTAAATTCAAGCCTTTTCTTCTTGGCTTGCTGATGGCTGAACTTGTTTCTGGGAGAAAGAAGCCGGTGAATTCTACCAGAGAAAAATCTAAAATTCTCGCCCATGCAGTGTACTAGCAGTGCATGCTAACAATTTACATTGCAGTGCTCAATGCCACGTGTGCTCAACATATAACAGTGCTGCCAACTAACTGGGTATGCTTTGCGTACTGTGACTTCCGATTTTCCGTATTTTGCAGTATTTTTCTATCCTGCCGTGTGCAATGCATTGCTTGTCTTGTGCTTTTTTTGACACTCACATGCTGGTCGGTGGCTGAATTTGCTAGTGCAAAACATGTGACTTGTACCAAGACTAGGCTTTCCTCAAATCGGCCAGTTTTTTCGCCTATTCGGCTTTCGGCTCAAAAATACAACAGATTCGGCTGCAAAATCAGGTGATTGTTCGAAAATCGGCTACAAAACTGGAATATATTGGAAAATCGGCTAAAAGAATTATTGGCATATTGGCTTCAAAATTGGTGAGATATTGGAAGATTTGGTAGAATTTGGTAGAATTTCGGCTATGCTCAAAGGAACCCTCCAAAATCGGCGAAAAGCTTAGCATGCTAGCATGCTTGCAGCAATATCAT